CGCCGAGCAGGGAGCCCGATGCGGGACTCGATCCCGGGACTCCAGGATCATGACCTGAGCCGAAGGCAGTCGCTTAACCAATTGAGCCACCCAGGTGCCCCGAAAAGCCATGTCTTAATAAACGAATTTCTGAAGAATAGGCATTCATTCATTGATATACTCATTGCCTACTCTGTTCCAAGAAGGTAGCTGCTTGATCCTGCCCTCATAGAGCTGGTGGGGAGAGGGACATATCAGCAAGCAAACACAGTGCTGTGTGACTAGTGTGATGGTAGGGGACATTCAAGAAACTGTGGGAATTATATCAAGGGTACATAACCACTGGCAAGGGGCAGGAACCAAGGCAGCTTCCATTCTAAGCTGCAGCCTGAGGGATGAACAGGAGTTAGAGGAGGGAGGCAGGGGACACAGCCCAAGTGAAGTTACCAGGGGAAGTTTTAATGAAGAAACCCTGAGAAGCTCAGCGTGGCCAAGACACAGAAATTTGAAGGTGAAGATAGTGAGTGATGACAAGTTAGCTGGAGAGATAGGGAGAGGTCCGATTATCAAGGGTCTTATAAACCATGTTTATGACTTTAGAAGTAATCCCACAGATATGAAGAAGCCAGGGAGTGATGTGGCTATAGTGGTGTTTCAGAAGCCCACCCTGCCTGTGCTGTGGAGGACACGGGACCGGGTAGGTGGCTGCTCTGATGATCCAGGACAGAGACAGTGGCTCTGACCAGGATGGGATAAACTAGGAAGATATGTAAGAGTCAAATTGGCACACCTGGAAAGTTGATTGGAAGGAAGGGAGGTGGGGGTGGAAAGGAAAGGAGGATAGTGGGTGATATGGCTGGATACTGGTTGAAGCCAAGGGTGGTGCCAATCCCAAATGTAAAGAAGCCGAGAAGCTCTAGGCTGGGAGAATGCTGACCACAACCAGGGACTTGTAGGGCTCGTGGGCTTATGAAACTAAACCCATGATGAGTCTAACAGAGAGCTGGGAGGATAGGTCTGCAGGTGGAAATGGACTGCGGGTCATCATGACACAGATGGATTTAGAGCAGGTGAGTGGTTGGAGAGCATGTGAATGAGAAGAGGACCCTGGGGAGCATCCACATTTAAGAGATGGGCAGAGAAGACCAGCAACTCTGAGCCAGAAAGGAAGAGGGAAAGCTAAAAGAGCATGGTGCATTAGGAGCCTGAGGAAGGTTGTTTCAAGGCGGAAGTCCAGCAGACAGCACATACAAACACAAGACTGAAAACTGAGCACTGAAGGCAGTGACCTCAACACATGGGGAACAGAGCCCAACACCAGTGAGCTGAGGTTGAAGGGAAAGACTTGGGGACAGTGGCTGTGAGATATTCATGCAGGGACAGTGATGCAGGCTGTGGAAAGTGATGGAAAACTGTGCAGTGGGCATGGATTTTTTTCTAAGGTTAGCAAGATGTGAGCATGTTTGCATACTTCTGAGGAGGATTTGGTGGCAGCGGGAAGGCTGAGAATGCAGAAAGAGAGGAAGAAAGGGCAGTATGGAGCCCCTCAGGCTACAGAGGGGTGAAGGGCCAGAGCTCAGGCAGGCTGCAGGTGAGGATGTTGCCTCTCTCACTGTCCATGCAGGAAACGGTGTCCACGGGGTAGGTGGTAGGCAGCTGAGCAAACTGTTGCCTCATGACTTATGTTCTTTCCAGGAAGTGGGAGACTAGGTTATTTACTAGGAGTGAAAAGCTTTTGACAGAATTCCAGATTTGAGAAAAGTGTAGGGAGTTTTAAATAGCCACTACAGAGAAGAATTTCCAGGGCCTATGAGGGGTCAGCAGATAATGTGCCTGGTCACACCTTTTCTGAACCTCCGACAACAGCCCAGCGAAGGGCGGGCACACCGTTGGTTTCCTACCCACTTGGGATTTACCAAGCAGATGTGACCCGATGACAATGGACCAGAATTGCAGATATTAAGAGAGGCTGATGAAATCAATGGGGACCCTAAAGTTGGCTTAAAAAAGTGAGAACAAACAGAAGAGAATGGAAGGATAGGAAGAAGAGAAGCAAAGAGGCAGGAACTTGAACATCCCATTGATGGAGCTTGAACTCCAACTTTGCATTTTTCCTTAGGGAAGCCAAGCTCACTCCATACCCTTTTCTGCTCATTGAGTAGAAAACTAATCTGAACTCACTCCTCCTTGCCAATGGTCCCTCATGGGACAACTATAATAAGGTCAGATGAGCAATGCTTTGCTGAGATGTAAGGTTCTGTGGGACAGGTTTGAAGGGGTGCATTCTGTTTAATATCTTAGAAAACACAAACCGTTTTTTGTTTGTTTTTGTTTGTTTTACTGAGCTCCTACGGTTGTGAGCAGCCCACTCCCTCCCCAGAGAGGCTGTGCCCTGTTCATCCACTGGGAAGGGGTTCCTATACAGGGGTCTTGGGACTCCCACTCCCAGCCAGGAGACTCTATCTAGTCAATGGCCCAAAAAGAAATGTTTTCTAACCGTTAATAATCATTTTCAGGGGAAGGTAAGTAGAAGGATAGAAATACTAATTTGTTCTCTATTTCCTGTTTTTCTCTAGAGGGGCTGAACTTTTCCAGGCCACAATTGTAAAGGCTGTAAAGGCAAGAATTGAAGAAGAGAAAAAGTCAATGGATCAGCTGAAGAGGCAGTAAGGAGGCTTGATTTTACTCTCCTTCTCCTTTCCTTGTAATCGTGGTTTGTCTGATCCTGTTCAGCTGGCTCTCGCCTCCCAGGGAGCCTCAATAGTCCTGAAAAACCTATTGGTGTTAAGGAGCTTCTGGGTATGTGCTCAGCATAAGGACAGTGGCTTATGCTCACTGGATTGAGAACGGAAGTAGTTGAAAAGAAAGAGAGCTGCAATGTGGTGGAAAGGGGAGCTATGTGGGACAAGACCAATGTCAAGTCTTGGTTGGTTCAACTGCTTCCTCTGGAACCGTGAGCAAGTCATTCCAATTCTCTGAATTTCAACCTTCTGTTTTAAATTAGGGTTCACAATTCTACCTGGGTTTTTATAAAGATTAAATGAGCTAATGAATGAGACAGGGTCTTTCCTGGTCCCATTCAGTTGGAGTAAATGTTCATTCTATCTGTGGATTAAGGGAATAAATACAAAGTCCTGGCTTTGGAAGGATCTCTAAAGATATTATAATACACTCTCTCTGGGAAGAAACTGATGACCCATGACATTAGATGACTTAAAATCCACAACAAACTAGAGGCAGTACTGGAAATACAACCCTTGTTTCCCTGTATTCAGTTCAAGACCTTTTTTCTACCACCATGTTCTGGATAAATCAAGTAGTGGACTGACTTTACTAGGAGATTTGAGAATTTCTTTTTCAAATTAATTAGTTAATTTTTAAAATAGCCCTTGAAACGAATTTTCGTAGAGTGAAATTTTTTACCAGTAAATGTAACTTCTGAGGACTGGTAGCACTTCATTTGGGGCTGGGTTTAAGAGCAGATGGCCATAGAATTCAAAACCTAGCCACTTTCTCCAGGAAAGCAGAGACTCGATCACCCCACTAGGAAAATTCCCCAAGTTTGCTGAGACTCCTTCATTCCATTCTGACATTTCCCAGCTCCTTTCTCCCAGGCAAAAATGTTTGCTAGCATAAATTACACCATCCCATGGCATGGTTATTTCCACAATCAAAGATATGAGGTATATAAACTGTTATATAAGCAGTTATGGTATAACTGTTGCTATTGTTGTTTCTGGTTATCTATATCAGGCTGAGAGAAGTAACAAATTTGGACCCGGATTTAGAATGAGTTCCTATTTACCCATTATAGAGACCTGTTAATATCATTCACTTCACTGAGTTTTTCCATTTGTTTAAGAATAACTCCTCTTAGGTGACAGAAATTCAGAATATAAAAGAATGAAGGTAATAATCATGGCAAAAGAGAAGCTAAAAGTGTTGTTTAAGCTGCAGGAAGCAGAAATGGCACTTAGCTTAAAAATTTGAGCAGAATTTTAAGAAACTGAATTAAGAAATGGAACACCGCGGGAGGGCACATCTGGGAAGTAGAGTTCAGCGTTGTAGTTTCTGAATAGTTGGGCTTCCTGAATAAGCAGACAAAATAAAAAGCACTGACTCAATAATTAAAGATGCAATAATACATTCTTTCCAGAACTGATAAGAGATTAGATTTGAAATAGAGAAGAGTCATGTGGTCTAAGAGAATACTTATGAACATCTGGGGAGCAACTTGCTTTTTACAAAACAGTTCTCACACTTTTATACCTTTTCATTGCATCTTCACACTATGTGACCTAGACAGTTCCTATTTTTAAAAAACTGCAAAACCTGGGAAAATAAAAGACTTACATGTCATCATTTACTGTGTTCAAAATGGCAACGGTCCGAGGTGTAAGTGGATATAAAGTATTGCGTATCAAACCTTAGCGTAATTATGACCATATTAGTAAGACTAGCAAAATAACATGGTTGTATACATATACACACATATAGACATCCCCAAGGAGATACTTGTTGCTGATTTAAAAAAAAAAAACCTAAGTCCCAAATGTTGGCTGCTTTGTCTGTGATTTTAGCAACATCCATACAAGTTTAAACCCAAACTGACCATGTGATGACTGTGGGTGTGTTCTTGGCATTGCTGCTGCTATTTTATTTGACAGGATGGATCGCATCAAAGCCCGGCAACAGAAATACAAAAAGGGTAAGGAGAGGATGCTGAGCTTGACCCAGGAATCAGGGGAAGGCCAAGACATCCAAAAACTCTCTGAAGAGGATGACGAAAGTATGTTGAGACATTTCCCTCTTGTTCAAGTAGCTTGACGTTGAATGATAGCATGATGATGGGTAGGGCTGTTAAATAACATTATTCTTACTCTGCCAATATTATCAATTTTTTTTTAACTTAGCAAGTTTTATCTTCTGATTGTGAATGGGATACATGTATTTGTTTCATAAAGGGCATATTTAATGACTCCACGATTTTATGAGTATCTCCTCTTCAGCAAAACAAATTTAATCAACCCATAACTTAGCTTCTGTTTCACAGAGATGTGTTTCTGAAGAAAATGAGCCTGGATTTGCTTAATTTATTCCTTTAGGGAAGATATTTCAGATACACAGTCTACTGTTGTTGTCTTTGATTTCTATAAATTTTATACAAAAATGAAGTATGGATGCATATTTTATGTGGCATCTGAATAATGGTAGCTAAGATATCCTTCAATTATTGTCTGTTCCAATGAAACTGAAAATGAAATATATATTTATTATATCTGATTATAGATTTGTTATATCCAATTAAGTTTAAAAGGTCTTCTTACAAATGTTTGCATGCTTTTCTGTTTGAAGGGAATGGAGAAATAATGCATGGTATTTTCCAGTGCATAGCATCTACTAATCAGCAATAAACTTATATTTTTTCCAACCATGCTTTAAAATAATCACAAGGAAATTTCTGGTTATTGGAATATATGCATTTTTACAAATTATTTGCCACTAAATTGTCTTATAAAATTTAGGTGATGCTTTTTTCTGTTAATTCAATGGAGAATTCAGTGTGAGATGCCTTTTTGAGAGATAATCCCTTCTTTTTTATGTTTCTTTATATGCCCTACAGTACTAAAAAGGAAGTGAAAATGTGGCATAATGTTCATAGAACACTTAGTATTTGCCTTGTGAAATCAACTTGCTCATATGTGTAAACATTTCAGATTCAGTATAGTTCCTTTCCCTGACCTCTGATGTACTTTTGCAACTTGTCTAGATTTTGACAATTGAGTTGTTAAAGCGTGGTTTTCAAAATTTGTTTTCTCACTTCCTAAGAATTAATATTTGGACATATTTTATTTTAGGAGAAGCAGACAAACAGAAAGCCAAGGGCAAAAAAAAGCAGTGGTGGCGGCCTTGGGTTGATCATGCTTCCAGTAGGTTTTCTTGATCCTCTTATGATTTCATCGATTCTAACCCTTATATCCTTGACCAGAATGCAGGCGTCCCCATAACCTGTGTGTTCCATGCATGGTTTGCTCCTTGTGACTTGATAGGGGGTCAGAGTTTAGGAAAACTATAATGCGAATGGGTCTCTGGGCCCCGGAGATGGACTCTTCCAGAGAAATCAGCCGGTTACCGTGCTGGCTGAAGAAAGCCCAGCATGCGGCTGACACACTCCCGAGCACCATTTATGGGCTCAGAAAGGGAAGAAGAATTGCTACCATTTTATCTGATTCTGAGGTCCAGAGCTCTGCTCATGTATATTTGTTTTACGGCTGAAAACCCTTATTAAGAATGAGTTTTGGCTCCTCCTGGGAGAATAATCATTCAGTTCAACGTGTTTGTAACCCTCTTTGTAAGGCACTAGGCAGGGATGCCAATGAGTCTCTCCTCCCCTATCCCCAGAGCTTTGATTTCATTTGCATGTAAGGTTTTTTGGCAATTTATCAGATATAAAGATGAGGATCACTTAAAATGCATTCACTTCCTCACTCTTCCTCTTCCCGGTTTCTAAAGGCTCTCCAGTTACACTCCCAATCCAAAGCCCAGCATGTAGCGCAGCTGCACAGCCCCCAGCAAACTGCGCCATGACCAAGTAAGAGCAAAGGTGGTTTGGAAAAGGGAGCTTCATAGTCACAGAGAATTACTGTTTCCCGCCTGATCATGAAAAGGAATGAGGAATCATGAAACTCAGGGGCTGTATTTGTTCTGCTTAGCAAAAGAAGTATCACTCACTCTTGGCCAGTGGATGGTCTTAGAATGGAATGATCCATTTTGATCTGACCCTCCTTACATTTGTTAGACTATGGAATAATTACTAATTATTTTACACATTACTTGTAATATCTTCAGGCTTTTATGCCTAGCTAATGTGATCAGACAGGGATTATCACTGAGGCCCACAGCGTCGCACGATGGTGGGAGAGACTCTACTAACAGGATCTTCAGAATCACTAGAAAGTCAATTCGATCCGAATCTTTTGCCATGCCTAATTCTTGGAATCACTGAGATATGATATTGGCTTCTCTCACCCCCAAATTAATTTTTTAAAATCAGCAAGCCAATTTCAGAAAGTATTATGCAAAATTTGCTCAGTATACCTGGATGTAATTCAATTTAATCCCAAATATTGAATTTTTAGGCTTATGGATACAGAAAAAAAAAATCCATGAGTTTTAAAGGGTTTTGTTTCATTTGCTGCCAAGTCAAAAGGCAAAGATTCAGGTCAAAATTCTGTGTGCCTCTTTAATTTATTGTTCATTGGCCATGTTCGTCATGCTAACGGTCCTACAATGCAGTGCTATAAGCCTATTTCTATCAAGTCACAAGTAAACTGTGCCTATCTTTCTGTTTTTAAAGGGCCCTTTGCTAGTTTAGACAGACCTATCCATTTCAAAATTGTGTCATACTGAATGTTTTCTCATTCCCATTGCAATGATAGTTGTCTTTCCTTTTCTTAATCTAAACATTGCATTTTGGAAGGAATTGGATATGGTCTTTGATAATCATCTTACAAGTTGGTAATAATTTAAAGAACTTCTTATGAAGGTTATTGATTTTAGTTTTCTGATTCATTTTACCCTCATTATATCAAGTTCTTAAAGACTGGTATTAAATTAAACGTGCCTTGTTACAACACCTCTTGGTGCAATAATGCAGGGAATGTGTGTAATTCATAGTTTGGAATCAGATTCTGACCATGGTGTTAAAATTTTTCGTGAAATGTGTTTCCTTTTACAGGCTTGTGAGGAAAGGAAAGGAATGAATATGTGGATTATTATTTAGACCATGATGAGTTCCAAAATTTATTTTTAGAACTGGAAGCACTTTATTAAAAGCCCTTATTTTGATGTCTTGAGTCACTGGGCTTTTAAATAGATATTTCATGCAGGTGCGGAGTATGAGAATGTATGTAGTTGGAATACCCTCATGTAAGTCTGTCAATGATACAATAATGTCGCTATGTTGTTCATATTACTGGCAAGCAGTCAAGATCTTACCATAGTCTGTAGGTGGCAAACCTTCCACTTCCATACCTATGTGCACACATACAATCGCATTATTGCTGTTCAATGATACCTTCCATTCGAGGAAAGTACGTCCCCGTGCCTAAAGCAATGACAAGCCTCACTTCGTTGTCAAACGTCTGAAATCAAGGTCCGGCTTTCTGGGGATACAGGTGGTAGGATTTTAAAAGTTATTTCCACACTCAACACAGCAATGACATCAATAGCCACGATATGTTCATGGACACAGGCTGGAGGCAGGATCTCTCTCTGAACTCACAAATGTATACGCAAGACCTTCTCTACTTCTTATTAGAAGCTAGCACTAAAGAAAACATTCTCTGTGGTTTTCCTACTTTTATTTCAATAACCTTTCATAAAAGAACAGGAGACTTTCCTAAACACTTCCTGCTTTTTTTTTTTTTTTAATGTGTTCATTCTACTTCTTGCATAAACATTCATAGTTTTTTAAATGATCAAATCAGTGTTGGGACTGCTTGAGATGAACACGTGTTTGGGCTCCCTGTGTCCATATGAGTAAAAGTCATAGAAGGTATGATTGAATACAATTTAAGCTATCATTGATTTTAGATCCTATAATGAGGGTAAAATGCTCAATCTTGTGATACTCTGTTTTTACCAAATGACCCATGTGACATAGAATCCATGTAACTTTCCTGCAAATGTCTGAGCTTACATGAAGGCATTACTTTAATGGTCTTCTCCACTGTCAAATGTAATGCTGTAACTTTGGTTTGTTCTTGCTTATTCTTACCTTATGTTGTATTGCATTTATTCCCTTGGGCCTGGACCCAGTATTCTGGGCCTGGTTCTTTCTTCAAAATAAAAGTAACGAATTACAGTGCTTCTGTTCAAGGATATAAGGCCCAATTCATTCACTCTGCATCTTCACGGATGGAGGCTTCAGATATGTCTGAAATCATGGGCAAAATTATTGACCTTTTGACCATGTTTAGTAATATTCAAGCAAATAATTTTAAACAAGCCAAGGTTTTCCATTACCTTACAACGTATGAATCCAAAAGAAAACCAAAGACATCATGTGATGTCATCCAAAAGACACCTCAGCATTTGAAAACTTGAATATAACTTGAAAACATTCATATTTTTTCCTGCAATGATGGTACAGTTCTTGTAGCATCAGAAATGTATATGCTGGGTCTCTTTTCCCTGATAAACTTAAAATAATGCTCAAACTGATAAAGATTGGTTTCTCAAATTTCTTTAAGTCTCTGGACATTTCCGCTTTCTCTGCTCCTAACTTTTAACACAGCAATATGTTCTTGTGGGGAAAATATCAGGCAAGACAAGGGCAATCCGTACTGTTTGTGCTTTATGTCTTATGGTCAGTACATTTCTCCTCACACTTCAGTAAGCAACCGGAGCTCCTGGTTGACCAGAAGCCTAACAGTGCTAAACCATATGGACCCTGTCTGCCCTGCCTGCCCTGCCTCAGTCTGTCCCGTGCTACATGTAGAAACAGCCAGAGTGTGATGGTGGTGTTTTTGCAGTTGTATTCTTTTTTTCATGTTACCTGCCCATTTCCTCCTCATGGCAATGTGTTTGTTGTTGTTGGGTTTTTTGTTGTTTTTTTTTTTTGAACTCTTTCAAATGTCTTGCCATATATGTCATGTCCCTGTGTCACGTGTGGAGGAGTCATGTCTGCACATTAGAAAGTGAAGTGGAAGTTGGTGATGTGGATTCTTGGTCCTGAATCATCCTGATTGGCATTTCTACCACACACTCAACCCCTTCAGACAACACCAAGTCCTCCACTTCACTTTGGCCTCGTCTAAAGGACCCAAATTGCCAAATTGTCTGAATCGTGAAACTCTTAACAGTTTTCCATCCATTATTTTGGCCATCTTGGTAACAAAACTGGTTGCTGCAGAGTTGATCTGATGCATCTGGTAAAATTGACACTGAAGAAGGAAGAAACTATCAGATGAACCCAGTAGTGGCCAGTTTTCTTACACGGTGTAGACAAGGCCTCACGCTCTGTAGACCCAACCATGCCAACACCACGAGGTGTTAGCCCAGAATGAGTTCTCTTCATCTCTTGTCTTTTCCTCCCTACCAACATCTCTTGCTGTGGTCTTTTGTGGAAAATTTGTGTATCTTTGCCGGGGTGGGGGGGGGGAGCATTTCATTAATGAGCCCTTAATGGTCTCATATCTCTTTCAAGAAATAAGTAAATATTCTGTTTTGCTTAGTGGTCAGGAGTGGAGATTATTATTTGTTTGAAACGGATAGCGAAGAGGAGGAAGAGGAAGAATTAAAAAAGGAAGAGGAAGAACCTCCAAGAAGGTCAGCTTTCCAGGTAAGTACGGGGTTGGGAAAACCAGGTCCTCCGCTAGTTGAAGAGCTTTTCTTTCTGACAGACCCTGATTGCAGGCCTAGACTTCTGCCACCATGTTCATGTGTGCCATAGCTTCCAGAAGCTTTTGATTTCCACCTGAAATTGTTTATTCCTCATTAAACTGTAATGCTGCTTGCTCTCAGCATCAGTATAATTACTGCAAGAACACTGTTCCCATCAGGTCTTCGTTCACTTGCATCAAAAAAATCTTCTGATGCTATAAACAAAAAATAAACCTTCCTTGGGTGAACTTTATTTTTCTGTTACAAGTAGGAGGTGAAGAAGACTTCTCTGGCATCACTTTGGATCGCTTGAGTGGATTTATATTTTGATATGTGAAATAGCTGATCATAAAAATAAAGCACTTGCTTTGTTTTGAAACAAATGGTCATTTAAATGGTACTTCAAATTTTGAAAATCCATTTCATTTGTGTTGCCAAAGTTTTGAGAATTGATTGGAATCTTGAAAATATCGAGCACAGTTCTGATTTTTTCAGCTTAGTTGCCTTTCCTTTTCAGAACCTGCCAGATCATTCTCGGTTACATAACTCACCAGCCCAGTATAGTGTATCCAGGGAATGTCTAATCAATGCTTGTTAAAGATGAGGACTGGTCAGTAGAGTTACATATGGGGTGAAAGCTTGGTATATATTTCTTTTGTGAAGGAATCACATGTTAGGACTGTTATTTCTCAGTTATTATACTCCAAGACACATAGAGGGTTATCCATCAAGCCACATGATGTGTCCATGTAAAGGTCATGGTTACTTTGCTGGCCAGGTCTTCTCAAGCTGGAGGCTTACATCCACCCCTGTATTCCCAATGAAATTAAGGAACCAAACTATTTGTGGAGACACCTTGTTCTGATGCTTCCTCACTGGCCCCATCGCAACCTGAGTGTGTTTCTTAAGACAGTGTCTGTGTGCATGCGTGCGGCTGGCTTGTCAGATACTAATGACTTGTTTATTTTTATCCTAATGAGTTTTCTTATACCCATCACTCCTCATTCAGCAAAGGAGAGAACATGATCATCCTCGCCATGTTTATGGATTACATGCAATGATTATTTTCCTTATTCCTAACCTACAAGCAGAGCACATTTTATTCTAGCTTCAGTGATTGGCACGTTTTAACCTAGTTGATGTAATTCTAGAGATGAACTCATACGGATGTCATATATTAAATTATTAGTCATTGGTGTTTTTCTACTAATCACTCTTGCTTTGTCCTTCTTTGTAGAGAGCTATTGGGAAGTTTGCATCGGCCATTTTAGCCTTGCCAAAGTCTGTCATTAAACTTCCCAAAACTATTCTTCAGTATTTAATCAGAGCTGCAAAGGTATTTGATGTTTCACTGACATGTGGTGTGTGACCCTCCGCTCTGTAGAACTTTAGACAAGCAGATCCCTGTTGCCCTACATCTGCATTTTCCCTGTTCTATAGATTGTACAAAGGAGGAAGTATAAGAACTTAAAATAGTAGGCAAACCTTTCCAAGGAGAGTTTTGAGAAGCCAAATTTCCTATTATTTGATTCTTGTTTTTCAGATGACACCAGAGCCTGTCGAAACATAGAGAGAGAAAATGCAGATAAACATCTACTCTGTCCTTGTAGTTTTGCCTAAGTCACGTCTCATTTTAAAAGGGTCACATCTGGTTGCATGCATCAGTCATGATGTTTAAAATGTGTGATAACTGTTCTCAGAAAGCTGGTAAAATTACAAACAAGCTAATAAAAGACTCGTTTTGCTCCATCTCCTTGTTGGCTTCCCTTTCAAGTCTCGATCGTCCCTAGATTGGATATCGTCTTCCATTTACTCTTCTGACTTTAGTTCGACCCCTCGAAGTCACTGCCACTTCAGGTCTGTATAGCTTCTCACTCCCATGTCACCCCGGAGAGTGTGGAATGAACTGTGAGAAAGCTATTTGTCAATTAATCCAGTGCACAGCAGAAATTATCCAACTACATATGCTGTAGTCACTCGTTACTGAAAATCATAAATAATGAATTACTATTCGTGTACTTTATAGAAAGCTGGTTCTGTTGACGTAATCTGGGGCAGGCACTTAAACTCTCAGGTCTTTATGCTCATGTGTTAAGCAGATGTTTGGGTAGTGAGGGAGGCCAGCACTTCTCCCGTTTCACCTGGGATCTTATTTAAATGCAGGTTATGTAAATTAAGCAGGTCCTGCCTATGGCACTTATAATTCTGTATTTCTCTTGAGCCCCCCAGAGGAAAGACAGCTGCTGGTCCATGTTGAGTAGGGGGTTTCTGAACTTCCAGGTTCTTCCCATTTTTTAAATGCCAGGATTCTGATTGTTAGTTTAATATTCAACGTGTTCACTTAGGATTCTTTTTTCTTTTCCCCTTTATGACTACCATATAAGTCTCTCCATTCATATTTAAGAATTTATATGAAAAATTGCAACATAATTATCCTCCATCTTACTTTAAAAATAAAAACAGAGGAGAACCTGCGTGCATCGGTTAAGCCTCTGACTCTTGACTTTGGCTCAGGCTCAGGTCACGATCTCAGGGTTGTGAGTTCAAGCCCCACGTCAGGCTCCACACTGGGCATGGAGCCTGCTTAAGATTCTCTCTCTCCCTTTCCCTCTATCCCTCTGCCCCCCAACTCCCTCTCTAGGAAAAAAAAAAAAAGAATATTTGGGGATATATTTCTTTGGTATATATATATATATATATAAAATAAGAAAACAAAAACAGAAACAAACAAAAAAACTTCTTACAGAAACATAAAATCCTGGGTCACACGTGAATTAAAGGACAGTTTATTAAATTTTACCAATTTCAGTGAAAAATCTCCATCCACTTCAGTAAAGTTCTCTCCTGTTTTAAAAATTAAATGCTTTTTGCATAGTACATTTTCAGTAAAATGAACCTCATTTCCCCCAACATAAATGATAAAACTTAAGATAAAATCACATGATCAGACTTAAGATAAAACTTAAGATGAAGTAAATAAATAAATAAATAATAAATAAATAAATAAACATTTAAGATAAGCTATCTTCTCTTAAGAATACAGACTAGTAGTGGCAGTTTGAAGAAACCAAAGGTCATTTATGGACATTTTCATGTATTTTCTTCTACTTGGTTAGTGGTATGCGTGTCCCATGAACTTGGGTGGTGGTTATAGCTACAATGTGATAACTGAGAAGTTCCCATAAGAAACTTTTATTTCTTGACTCAGTAAGAATTGGGATCTTTCCTCATACTTTGTTATCATCATTTCCTAAAACAGTTAGACTGACCCTTTATCAAATATTCCTGGCACTATACAGGGTTTGTCGTTCTAAACATCAATAGTAAGATAATTTACCTACAAATAGGGACTCCTCATAAGATTGTCTCCCCCTCTCTTGTTTCCCCTTGTATGAATTATGTGAATTCTCATCTCAGTGAGAAAGCACTGATGAGCTTAATCATTTAGGGATCATAGCTAGAACCAGGAATTTCCTTTTAATAATGGCACTCACCCTTCTTCAAGAGTTCTACAATTCTGTCCTAAATGCCCCTTCTCTCTCTCCTTCTCACCCTCCCTCCCCATTTTCCTCCAGAACAAAAGAATTCCTCCAACTTACACACCTAATACATTCACAAATCCTGAGTTACTTTTTTATTTTCTATTTTGGGGATTCTGGCATTATCTAAAAGCAATATCGTCATAACCTTTTCTTTAAAGGAATTGTCATCGTATGTTGCTCTTAAACCTGAAAATTTCTTGCATTTAGCAGTTCAGATTTTTGTAAAAGAATCAATATTTTGCTGAAGCAACTTTGCTTATTAAGGTACTAAATAAGCCTCAAAGCTATTCTTTTTGGTGAGTGGCAGGTTTAATAAGCAAGGGAATTTACGTACATAGCAAAGATATTCTTGATGGGGTTCCCAATTAACATGTTTAGTACACATCTACCATGAATTCCTTCATTTGGTCCTTCTTCCAGAGTCAGTTAATCTTTTCATTTTTCAAAAGACATTTTTGGCATAAAATAGGATTATTTTTGCCTCCTGGGTTTATTTTTCGGAAATAGTACTGATGTTCCATTCGTGTTAATTGCCCATAGATTCAGATTTCTACTAGTGAAAAAAGAAATGTTCTTCCTTAGTCACCTATGACCTTTACATTTCCATACATTGAAAAGTTGGATCCCTCTTTACTTTACCTGACATCACCATGCCAGTGGTTTGCTTACCCTGTGTTTTTCAAAGATTTCAGAAATCTGAAAATAACACAGAATACAGTGAAAGTGTCTGGGTTTACAAAGCGTCCCCACAAAGCATTCCTTTAACTTTATTATCGTAATAGAAAACCCAGCTTCCCTGAGACCCAGGTGTGTTTGTGGGTGCATGAGGAGCATGCCTGCTTGGCTTCATGATTACAGATGGCTGACTTTGTGGATCGAGGTTTTCTTTTGGTTCCTTCTGCATGACTTGGGAGACTGTTGGTGGGCGGGCTGTTGAAAGTTGCTCTATGGTGGTTATCGGTCTTATTATATTAATGTAACCATTTTCAGGTCTTGAATAAAAATGACAAAAGACAACCAAAAGCACCACAGTATTCCTTCCATAACATTCTGGAATAACTCCTTAACCTTAATATCACATTGTTTTTTCCTCTCCAAATACCAATCAATCTATAAAACCCTTTCTCAAGTTGTTGGTCATAGCTGTTTTTCACAAAGGAGAGTATCAAATGTGCAAAACTATTTTACCAAAATAAATGCATAAATGATGTCTTGTTTTTGATTCAAAGTTTATTTGCAAGGGAAGAAAACTACTCCAGTGACACTTAGCAAGGCGCCCAGCTTATTCCTATTGTGTGTGATACGAAAGAATCAGTAACTCTCACAAGTGGTAGTGGTACATGGGGACTTGGGAGGAATGGTGGTTACCCAAAGTATCTCATGATTGTGATACCAAATGAAATCTATTCCTCCAATGTCTGTTTTCATATTTTATTTCATGATAATGGAAATAGCACAGGTCAACTCAGGATACTGAGGGAGATGGGAGCAGGAGATTTAGTTTGTGCTGGGAGAAAAAAAAAATACATATATATATATATATATATATGTATATAATATATTTCCAAAGTCAGGAAGCTTGGTGTTGGTCCCTTTTCTTTTCATTCAAATTATTAAAAAGCCAGAAAATAATTGAACTTTCCCCCTTCAGTTTGTTTATCAAGCCTGGATCACTGACCCTAAAACAGCACTCCGACAGAGACGCAAAGAGAAAAAAAGGTCTGCAAGAGAAGAACAGAAAAGAAGGAGAAAAGGATCTGGGGAGGGTAAGTGTTGTGTGAATGCAGGGTCCCACCAGCGCTCTGTTTCTGTGGCCCTGAGCTACAACAGGGAGCTACAAAGGACAGAAGCTTTGGAGGAACATCATTCTCATATTCTAAGGCGTGCACAGAGTTCTACTTGTCCATCATTGCTCATGTCTGACCCCTGGAATAAGTAAAAACATGAATTTAAGTTAAGATACATTTTATAAAATGAGAAGAGGGAGAGGAGCAAGATAAATCCTAAGAAAGTAGAAGGAAAAAATTCATTTTTTAAACAGATGTTAAGTCACAGAAAAAAAAAATACAAGATCTATCATTAAGTGAAAAGCTGTTCTTAGAAAAAACTAGTAGGATGGATAAACTTTTGGAAATCTGATTAAGAAGAAAAGGAAAAACACACTTAAGCAGTATCAGGAGCCAAAAATGGAATATAACTACCAATGGCATCTCCAACATTACCTTTGGTGAAAACATACAATAGGAACACATTTCTGAAGACAGGGAAAATTCTAAGCTACAACTATACACCAAAAGAAAGTGAAAGTGGGGCACTCAGAAAAAATATTTTCATTATGTATATCAGACTAAAGATTAGTATTCTGGATATACTAAGAACTCCTAAATTCAACCTAATAGATGAATAGATATGAAAAATAATCCATAGATCGGGAAACAGAAATAGCCAAAAGAAGCTCAGCTTCACTACAAATGCAAGAAACACAACAATAGTTTGACATACTGTTTTCCTTGTTTGTTTTTTTACCTATCAGATTGGCAAAAGCCCAAACATTTGTTAATATCACTGTTCGGAGCTAGTGGGAAGATAAGTGTTTGTTTGAGTTATAACCCATACAACGCTATAAATGGTGTAGTAAAGTAGTGCATCAACTTTGAAGAGCAATGTGTGGAAATCTAAAAAATTGTTGGGGCACCTGGGTGGCTCAGTTGGTAAGCGTCTACCTTCTGCTCAGGTTATGATCCCAGGGTCCTGGGATTGA